GTAGAGCCTTGAACAAATTTATTTTCTCGCGCGAAAATTAGGAAGCAGATCAAAGCGATCTGTATAGTATGTTCGTTGAACTGTGTTTTCAACTGGGACAAAAAGCCCTTTTCAAGTAAGATTTGCCTAGATCTTCCCATTATTTAATGCAAGTGGTTTAAGCTACAGTTTCCAAAATGCCTGACATCCGTAGACGATTACAAATAAAGCCAGTTTGAATGGACATTGAAGCTTTGTACAGATTGTCCCTTGCATTACATCAGGCAGCAATATTGCTATGAGTCGCTCTGCCTTAAAAATACCAGGAGATATGTTCGAAGCTATTTTTTTTTTGCTTTTTTCTCCATAAAGAAGGTCCACAGAACTTAAGCCGCTCAATATTTAATATGGAACTTGTCCTAACCACTATCTTTGTTTTCATTCGACTCCAATCCGCTGACCAATGAATGCGGGAGCAAAATGTCCTCATTTCTGGCGATGCTTACTGTTGCAAAAAAATTGTCAAAATAAATCCCAGCTACATCAAAAGCGGAACTGGACCAGTTCTTCGCTGAACTGAGCAAAAGCAAGAATGCGACCGTCGATCTCAGTCTTAGTCCAGAATATGCTGGAAGTTACGTTTGCAAGAGTCGCTCTGTGCCAATAATAAAAGATCTTTTCGAAAACAAGTATCTTTACCTTACTCATCCTGATCTACTAAAGGTTTGTCAGGAAATTGATATCAAGATGAAGGCGGAACAGATCACTCAAGTTGAAAAGGATACCATTACTCAAGCAAAGGGGAGCAATTTTTTCAAACATAGGGCTGGGAGAATTGGTGCTTCCAAGTGCAAGGCTACATGTAACTCTGACCCTGCCTTACCCTCTCAAACCTTAATTCAGTCTATTTGCTACCCAGAGTTAAATAAAATAAACACTAAAGCTGTCCTCCATGAATGTAAACATGAAGGGCTGGCCATCAGAGCCTACGAGGAAAAAATGAAGGAGTTACACACTAACTTTAAAATAATTAGATGTGGGCTTTTCATTAATGAGGAGTATCCGTGGCTGCATGCCACACCTGACTTTTTATGCAATTGTGATTGTTGTGGGGAAGGCTGTGGTGAGGTCAGGTGCCCTTACTGTATTGAAAACTGTGACTTCGATAATTATGTGAAGAAGAGCTCTTCGTGTATGAAAAAAAAACCGAAGACTCCCGCCCTATCAAGCTCAAAACCCTTGACGACCATGAAAGATTCTCTCGGCAAGAGAACCTACCTTTAAGCTAAGTAATCTGAATTCTGAACCTTGAGTAACTTTATTTATAATTTAATTTGCTACTTCTATGATAGCTGACGAGAAAACCCCTTCAATCTCTCCTCCCTTTTAATCACTTGGATAATAGTTCCTTTAATTTAGCGATCTATGAATTTTCTTATGGTCCCTATGAGCTACGATGCCGAGCGTCTTGAAACGTTATTATTTAATCCTCTCGAAAGGCCCGAATTTATTTCATCCGCTTTCTAGTCATCTGAATCCCGACTATAACTTCATCACTCGCCTGCCCAATAGTGGCTATATGGTTGAGGAAGATCTGAACAATCGAGTAGCTTCTTTTGGCGACAAAACAGACTTTTCTATTTACATTTAAACACTCGAAGCTAAATGAGAAATTTCGATCAACTTAATTTATTGCTGAGAAATCTTAATACGCCATTCTCTGTGATTGGTGTGTCAGAAACTTGGCTAACTGATTGCACTGCAGAGCTTGTAAACATCACAGGATACAATTTTGTCTCCAACCATCGTAAATCGAAAACAGGCGGTGGCGTTGTAATCTATTTACAAAACGGCCTTGAATTCAAACTTCTTGAAGAATGCAAATCTTCAGATGCAGATGTAATTGAATCACTTTTCTTGGAAATTATCGTTCCCCACGGTAAAAACATTATTGTCGGTTGCGTGTACAGACCACCAAATCAAAACACTGCTATGTTTATCGACAAATTCAGCAACATTCTCTCATTAATTTCTAAAGACAATAAACATTATGTGATGGGAGACTTTAACGTAGACCTTCTCCAATACAATCATCATGCTTCAACACAGGAAGTTATTGACAGCTTATTTTCACACGCCTTTCTTCCTCTCGTCTCCAATCCAACGCGCCTCACCTCATACTCTGCGACACTAATTGATAACATATTCACCAAGAACCTTGTACATAATGTTTTTAGTGGCATTATACTAAATGATTTATCTCACCACTTATCTGTTTTTGTATATATAAACAACGCAACCCTAACGCGCAGAACAGAAAGGAAGATTATGATGCACACATTCAATAACGATAATTTGCAAAAACTCAACGAGAACCTTTCAAACGTAAAATGGTCCTCATTTCGCAACATGGAAGATCCCAATGAGGCCTATAATGATTTTATTGAAGAATACTCCAGCGTTTACAATGCCAGTTTTCCTTTAAAAGTTCTCAAAGGTAAACAGGTGAACGCGTTCGTTTCCCCATGGCTTAGCCCTGGATATCTGAAATCAGTTAACAAGAAGATCAGACTTTACAGAAAGCACGTCTCATCGCCCTCCACATCTTCTGAAACGAAGTATAAAGCCTACAAAAACAAACTCACCCAGCTCATTCGCATTGCCAAACAAAATACTATGACTCCAAATTTGAGAATGCCAGAAATGACCTCAAAGCAACTTGGAAATTGTTAAACGAGGTTATCAACAAGCGTAAAAGTAAGTCATCTCTTCCCACATCATTTAAATCTGAAGGCAGAACATTAACGGATCCAATGGAGATCGCTGAGAGATTCTGCAAATACTTTACAAACATTGGTCCCAACCTAGCTAGATCTATACCCAGTGTGAATCCTTCTTTTCGTTCTTATCTCAGTTACAACAAACATCCCTCTATTAACTTAAAGCCCACCACAACAAGTGAACTGGAGAGTATTTGTAGCATGTTCGCTTCAAAGAAAGCTCCTGGCTATGGCAGTATCCCAATGCATGTCATTAAATATTCATTTCACCTTATTTCTGCTCCTTTGGCAGATATCATCAATATATCTTTACTAAAAGGCATTTTCCTGGACAAACTTAAAATCGCTAAAATCATTCACATCTTTAAGGTAGAGGATCCTAGCTTTTTTGTAAACTACAGACCTATTTCTGTGTTGTCTAATTTTTCCAAAGTTTTCGGAAAGTCATACACAATCGCTTAGTAAAATTTGCCGAAACACACGATATACTTTACCGCTGTCAGTTCGGATTTCGGAAAAATCACTCAACATAGCACGCGCTAATTCATTCAATCGACCAACACCTAACAACGGTGGGTGTTTTTCTAGATCTTTCCAAAGCATTCGACACTCTCGACCACCAAATCTTGTTTGCCAGATTGGAGCACTATGGTATCCGTGACGTGGCTCTGCAGTGGCTTAAAAGCTACTTTTCTTTCCGCCAGCAGTTTGTCCAATTCAATCAAGCTTGCTCTCCGATGCAAACCATCAAGTGTGGTGTCCCTCAAGGTTCAATTTTAGGCCCACTATTGTTTATTCTATACATTAATGACCTTCCTATTGCCTCTGAATTATCAGACCCTCTACTCTTCGCTGATGACACCAGTATCTTTTACTTTCACTCAAATCTAAATTGCACAGAATCTATACTTAATGATGAACTCCAAAGCATTGACGTTTGGCTAAAATGTAACAAGCTTTCAGTTAATATAAAGAAAACCAACTACATAATTTTTAAACCCAGAAAGAAGAAATTGAACTCCAGCATTTCTCTCTCCTTTTGAGGTAAACCCCTACAACAAGCTAATGTAACTAAATTCCTTGGGGTCTACATTGACAATCATCTCACCTGGAAATACCATATCAGCTATGTATGTAAACAAATTGCTAAATCAATAGGTATTGTATTTAGGTGTCGCTTTTCCCTATCCTCTGCAACCAAACTCACTCTGTATTACACCTTAGTTTATCCTTATACCGTCTATTGTAACTCTATCTTGTCGTCCACATACGTATCTAACTTAAATAGAATTTATTATTTGCAAAAGCGAGCAGTGCGGGCTATAACTAACTCAGACTATCGAGACCACTCTGCCCCTTTATTCTCCAAACTAGGAGTTTTAGATATTTTCCAAGTCAATACGTTTGAAATCGCCAAATATATGTTTTATTTCAATAATAACTTATTGCCCCCATTGCTTCTCGATCTTTTTGTAAGGAATAACCAAATTCACAACTATGGTACCAGAACATCCAGTAATTATCGAACGCACTCGGGCCTTACAGATGTCAAGCAATTTACAATTCTCTACCAAGGTCCTCAAAATTTGGAACTCTCTCCCTATTTCCGTCACTCGTTCGTCAAACTTTCTCAGCTTTAAAACGAAATTGCTAGAGTTTTTACCTAAATAGTCACTGAGTTGGCCAAGCTGCACATTCGCAGCACTTTTTCTTTAGTTGATTTATTATTGTAAGTGAGGTGGCTCTCCCAAAGACTCGGTGGCTTCTTGGGTCTCCTCGATCGCCTTTTAACCGTTATCGCTGTTAAGTGTGAGTACTAGTTCAGCTAGGCGAAGTAGGACAGTGGACAGTAAAGACATTAAAGACAGTAAACACAGCCGACACGCTCTTCAAAATTTTCGCATCTTCAATTTTCTTGGCCAGAACAAACTTCTTCTCACCATGGACATTACATCCCTTTACACTGTCATCCCTAATGGCGAAGGTCTTCTGGCCCTCAAACATTTTTCTGATCAACGTACTGTTAAGGAACCCAAATCTGAAACCCTACTTCGCCTAGCTTAATTGTTTTTCATTCGGGGATAATTTTTTTAAACAAACCAATGGCGTAGCCATGGGTACCAAAATGGGACCCAGTTATGCCAATCTCTTCCTAGGTTTTCTTGAACACCAATTTTTTAGCCAATACATTGGCCCAAAACCTGAACTCTACGGTCGCCACATCGACGACTGTATCGGCGCTGCAAATTTCCCTTTCGTAAACGGTCGTTGCCATTTGAAACGGTCGATGCCATTTCTCGGAACGGTCGTTGCCATTGAAAACGGTCGATGCCATTTCTCATGACGGTCGATGCCATCGTAAAGGTCGATGCCAAGAAGGAACCGATATTTCCGACTCTCTCCGACGACATGCGTGACAATTAGAGCAATGCAGACTAGCTTTCCCACAAACCATCGCGATTTTTATCAAATCAAAATGGCGGACAAACCCGACAATTTTCTCAAAGATCTAATATCTTCAGCTATAAAAGAAGTCGAATCGAAAAGAAAATCTTTTGAATCGACCCAAATTACAAAGGAGAGTTTTCTGGCTTCGCTTCCAGATGATTCATTTTACTACCTGAAGGCAATTTCAGGAAATGGAGAAAAGTTCAAAGTGCACTTTTTGACCGAAGATATAACGAAAGAAAACCTGGAGCAATGGATATCCGAATATGAAGTGATAAACAGCATCTCAGTGAAGTTAAAGACAAAGAAGGCACCAACAAGCGGCTATGTGTTGCAAAACTACTATAGATGCCAACACAACACTCGCAACTGGAGTCCAAGTAAAGATCCACAGCAGAAATTGTACTTGAATCCATCTGCCAGAGTAAAGAACACCAATTGCCCCTTTCAGATGATAGTCAAAATAGACAGCGAGGGATGTTGTTCTGTGGACATAGAGTGGGACCACAACCATTCACTTGAAACTCTGGAGACCTCTAATTTCCGTGACCTTTCTCCTGAGTGCACAGAAAGGGTTTTGAAGCTGTTTGAAAGTGGGCATACACCAGCAACCGCAAGGCAACAGTACTTGAAAGAACTCAAAGAATCATGTCAGGATGAATTGGAATTTCACAGGAAAAAGGCCAATCGGGCAGTTATGCCAAGAAAAAGGGACTTTAGTTACCTCTACACGCAATTTGGTAAGGATAGGTATGGTGGACAGGGCGTTATGATGTTTGAAAGACTTGCCGAAAGGCTTGAACAATACAAGAAAGACAACCCTGAAGCTACTACTTGTTACCAGATATATGAAGGTGATAATACGCCTCTTATAATTGCTATTGTAACACCTCTCATGAACCGTGTACACAAGGAAGTGCAGCAGTCTGGTGAGATGGTTTTTGTTGATGCTACTTCTAATACAGAAGAGCACAATCTTAAAGTGTTTTTAATGTGCACAAACAATGTGTCTGGAGCACTTCCACTTGGCATCTTGATCACCAGTGATGAGCAGGAGCGTACACTTAAACAGGGCTTTGAAATGTTTCGGTCCTGTTTACCAGAGTATGCATTCAATGATCGTGGTCGGGAACAAGGCCCCCAAGCCATCCTTACAGACAACTGTAAAGAGGAAAGAAATGCTCTGAAGTCTGTTTGGCCAACATCTGTTTTACTTCTTTGCATCTTCCACATGCTCCAACAACTTTGGAGATGGCTTCACGAGAGCAAGAACAGTATCAGCCAAGCAGATAGACCCTATTTTCTCACCCTTTTCAAGAGGTCCTTGTATGCCGAGACAAAACAAGATTTTGAGAACTGCTTCAGTGAACTTTTGAATGATGGCCGTTGCAAGAAATACCCAGATCTAGTCAGCTATTTGCAAAATCTATACAATGACAAAGAATCTTTTGCTCTATGCTTTAGAACTGAACTGCTTGTTAGAGGTAACCACACCAACAATTTTGCTGAGGCTCAGTTTTTGGTTCTTAAGGATGTAATTCTGCAGCGCACTAAAGAGTACAATGTTGTTGGGCTTCTAGACAAGCTGACTATTGATTTAGAAGATCACTACAAGAATAAGCTCCTTAGTATTGCTGATGGGAGTTTTGATGGCGTGTACAGACATCGTTTCTTTGGCAAAGGGAAAAACGGAAGCACAGGGTTTAAAGTCCCCGATAAAAAAGATCTTGATGCCTACCTCTCAACTGTGGAGAACTTTGGCAATAATGTATTCAAAGTTGGAAGCTCTTCAGATAGCAGTCACAGGTCAGTAGTGTTTTTTCTTAGCCGTCACAATAGCATAATGCTCTGATGGTACAAGAGGGCATGTGTGGGTGGGCATTATTTTCCTATCTTTCCCCCACTGTCTGATTCAAATTATCTTGATAGGGGAAGCAGTGCAGGGGGGGGAGGGGGCAGTGTTTCTAGGCTCCTCCCCTTTGGAGCAAAAATACATAAAACATAGGGACATAACATGCATAACATATGAGATACATGTAATTCCTGCAGTTCATCCATATGCTGCATTCCAAGGATGTTGATTTAGCATAAGGAAGACCAAAACATGAGTAATATATTGTCCAGGGGGTGGGGTACCTTTAGTAATTTCCCTTCTTGGCAGGGTGTTGAGTTTTTTATAGCAGAGTAAGAGCAAGTCCTTACTCTGCTGTTAGGAATATTTCTATTAATATCTTAGTGGATCAACCAGTTGAAGGTCTAGAATGTATCTATTACAGATTGAAAAAACAAAAATTCCAGTTGTATTGAGATATTTATGAATTGTCTCATTGGTTCTTTGTCAGTTATACAGTGGACATGACTCTTGGGATATGTACCTGCANTGTTTTTTTCCGAGAACACCCTCGCGACGTGGAAAGGAATGACAAGGACGCATCTAAACCAGTTTTTTTTCACTTTAATTTACCTAATCATTCTAAACATCATATGGCGATCTGCGGTCTTTCCTTTTTTTTAAGCAACACGGAAAGCCGCAAAACTCTTGAACAAAAGTTAACCTTTCAAACTGTTTTTTTTAATCCTACAGGTATCACCGAAAGCTTTTCATTCCACTAATTTATTCGTTTTTTTTTTTTTGGCATGTTCCCACCAATGGCGTAGCTCCGCTTTCTTCATATAAAACCACATACATTTTTTTAATCCTCCATTCGCTCTGACGAAGGGCTAACGCTCGAAACGTCAGCTTTTTTATTCGTTACGGTGGCCAATTTACAATTTCAACTTAGTTGATGTAACCAATCAACATCTACTGGGTCAAGCTGGTCTTTGCCTCTTGTGAATGCAGGAATAGCCAGTTGAGCCTGATGGAATATAAGACTTTCTTGTATGGTAAAACCACGACCTGCTATAACTAAATCTCCTGTTAGTATATTCTTTAAGATACCACAGTTCTCAGTTAGGAATTTGTCTGATGTTCTTCCACCCCATGCTTTGGAAACAAAGGAAATACTGCCCTGAGTTGTGATTCCAATCAAAACCTTAACAGTATTGTGATTCTTGTCGGAGGAGAAGGTCTGCGGCCTGATGGGCGATTAATAAAAACTTCAAACCAGTCAATAGTAACTGTTACTTTCTTCCCAAAAGAATCCTGTAAACACTGTGGCATTGTGCGCCACAGGCCTTCTCGATCAGGCCAGGACACTAATGGTGCAAGTCTGACATCCAAAGCAATCATCCAACTAGAAAAAAACTCGATATACTGTCGAGAGGGAAACACCAAATCGAAAGGCGAAGTCTTTTAATGGCATGTCTAGTTTCAACTTCATCAGTGTTAAGGCAAATTCTTGAGATTTTGTCAAAGTTAAAGTGTCACGAAATACACGAGGGAAAACTTGAAGAAAAACAGCGTTTAAAATATCAAAAGAAGGCAGCCCTGTGTAAAAAATTAACTTTATCATCGTTAATGGCAAACTCATGCTGATCAAATGCCTTGTGATCTTTAACTGGGTGAATAAATAATCATATTCCTCCGACTGATTGCCAATTTCTTTGCATACAACTTCCTGAGTTTGAACTCCCTTGTAGTTCGACGTTTCCTCAGTCCGATGGTTAAAATTAAAGTTCATGTCTGCGACTTGGTGGCCAGGTTCGCTAAGCTCTTTTTCCCTTTGTTCTTGTGCGGGTTTTTTTTATCTGTTCACGATACCTCGCTCTCTGGCCTCGCTCTGCCGCTTTCTCCAGGTTTTTGGGACATAATTCTTTATTAGATTGCCCCAAACACTGTGTTGGAACCCAGTCGATGTTAAATCTATCCCAGCTTTTGGCAGCCTTACCAGAAACAAAGTGCCTTTCACAGACACGGTCACTCCCCAAAATGTCGTCTGTAAGATGATCTCTACTGATCGCGGAAATCCGGGGTGATCTTCTTTCTCTAGATAAATTTTCCTTTTCTATACCTTGATTTGTAACTACAGAAGGGGCTCTTGCGAAGTAAACTCCTTTATCTCGTCCACTTCTGTTAGCACAGCCCACAATCATGCACAAAACCATCCTGCACACAAACAGCGCTTTGGTTTTGTTTACACTTTTGGTACACCAATAAGACGGCGTTGTAACGGTTGCTATGATTTTCGTCACGTGAATGAAAACGATCTATACCCTGTCTAACGCATAATTCCATTTTTCAGTCTCCACTTTCTGCATTTGCCTCATTTGCGTTTTTTTTTTTTTTTAGCGAGAGTCAATTCATATCCCATCACCGATTTGTCACAATGAAAACTCTCGTTTAATGCATCTTAATTTGATCATTTTTATCGTTTTCTCAATGTAGGCGGTTGAATGGTAATCGGCTGCAAAAGCTGCCGCGAAACTTTCTACAAGGAATGTCCGCCTTGAAGGATTTTTTTGTATAAAAATTGTGATTTTCTTCCAAAATTCTTTGTTAATGTTAATATTCCTTTTTTTTTTATTGCATTTGTATGTGATATATCACTCTCAAGTCGTTCAAAATATCCTTTTAAATTTTTTTTGTTCTCGATTTATTGACCGGAGCTAGTAGTTAAACAGTCAGTCATGGAGTTTGTTTTTTTGTTGTTGAGTGTGGTTCACAAACAGGAAGTTACAAAATTATAGAATTGTAGAATTTTTTTTTACTTTCGTCGCAGACAAAGAAATTACTGCTCTCGGAAAAGAAAAGGTGCACTTTTTTTTTTTTGCAGTAAATCAAACGTTAATAGATTATATATCTTTCTTCAAACGCATGCATGCCTCTGACGAATTATCAAAAATAAAAATAAATGGATAAAAAAACGGAAAATTACGCTAAAAAAAACCTTGCCGACACATTAATTTTTTTGCTCTCATTTTGCACGCTTTCAGGCTAAGACAAAATGCTTGCTTTTACTTTTGCATATAAAAAGAGACTTAAAAATTCAGATCGTATATTTTCTAAGAACGGTTGGCTTTTTTTTTGCACTCACTTCCTTTGGCAATTGTTCAAAGCTAGATCAATCACAGAAAGAAAAAAAAAGCTCTGAGTCACAGCCAACTGAATCCACCTTCTCCACTTCTTTTTTTTACACTTTTCTTAAAGGGAGAAGTATGCGACTGGCCGGCGGGGTAAAAAACGTTTACAAGGTGGACTCACAACAGACATAGGAAAGACAAGTTATATATATAAACTGCCTGGACAAGCGAACAGATGTTGAAAATCGGCTTTAGTCAAGGGTGACTACTCAGAATACACCACCATTTCGAGCTTTAATATATTGAATTCCATTAAAATAGAATAAATAAATGAAATTTGTGTTGAATATGGAAAAGGTAAACATGGCTTTCAATGCGTGGCGAGGGTTGACAAGAACAACTGCCATGTATGCATATGAGTTTTTCCTTAACTGGCATTGTATGCATATTTTTTTCCTTAACTGGCATTCTCCAAACCCGTTTTTTTCAGGGACCTGTCCTACAATCAGTTGCAGAGTTTGCCTCGAGGGATTTTTTTTAATAATATCAAACTGACAAGACTGTACGTAGGACTTTTCTTTGTGCATAAAAAAAACCTTTACAGGTCATATAATGACATTCATAGGGGGTGGTCCAAATTAGTTGAAAATATCGCTTATTTCTATCTTTCTCAAATTGAGCTTTGTTCGGAAGTGATACAATGAAAGGTCTCCCTGCCGTCATTGTCTTAATCTCCGTCAGCTTAATGGGCACGCTATTGTTATTTATATCAGTTTTTTTCATCACGTTCCGTCCATGATCTTAGTACAAGAAGAATTACACTTCTCTGAAAGTTGTTTTTTTTTTTTAAGAGTAGAAGTGACATTGATTTAAACCACCAATATCATATCAACATTTCTTTTTTTTAACTTTTAATGAAATGTATCTGAGAACTCAGTCAATTAGTATAATGTTGGCTSTTTTTTTGTAGTATCAGAGGTTAATTCAAGCGCCACTCAGGTGATCATTGTCCAACTCGGTTTTTTTTATATACCAGGAAAGATAATTGTTTCAATATCTTTATTACGTTAATTATGATCTTTTTTTTTGTGGTTTGTCACATTTTTTATACTGATTGAATTTTTACTCAATTTACCCATTTGTTTTTTTTCCATTCGCAACGCCTTATAATTTTCATTTTGTAAAAATGAAATTATATATCGATTTTTTTCAACGGTTTTGTGAAAAGGTATATTAGAGCCCACCTTTCATAATGTTGTAATCTTTTCAAGATGTTCACTGATTCCATAAAAAAACTGTTGGGAACCGCACACATGTACAGAGTCACGACAACCTCTCTTGACAGGGCTCAGAGGTCTGCGTTTTGAATGCAATAGCACACACACCTTGGAGTGCTTTTCAGAGGAGATTATTGCGTTAAACAACCTACTAGTGATGTGCACTGTTACATTACCGCCTTACCACACTTTTCACTTATTATCTTTTGGAGGCATATTGGTATTCCTGCTGGAAATTCTGGTCTGTCCCATTTTCATTACCTGCGAGCTTTGTGCACAGTACGAAATGTATGGAGAAGTAAAATGTCAATCATTTAGGGAGTAAGTTAGTTGACACTGAAATCCTGTCAGTAATCTTTGTTAATTAGGTTAAGAATTTTGTTATTCGAATTGGCTGCGGCCGCACTAAGATAGTTAACCGGGTCTACTTTTTAGAAATTTAGTTAAAATTTCCAAACAATTTAACCCGGTAAAACTTGGTTTGGTTGAAATAGCCGGGTTATATTTTATGAGCGGCCGCACTGAAATGGGATGTGAAATAGGTGACCTTGGACATAAATGACGTAAACAAAAAAATTGGAAGACTTTGAGGACTACTTTTTTTTTTTCTTGCTTCTCTTTCTTTGTTTTTGTTTCGTTTCATTACACTAACGTCTAATTTTTTTCCTCTTACATCTAATGCGTACTATGCAAATTTCCAAGTCAGTTCTATCGAGCACGACGTTGATTTTGTGCAGACGTTGGTGTGTTCTCAATCGCCGTCGACGGATTCGTTCACGAGGATGGTTTTATGGAGAAAATCTTCAGGAGTCCTGCCATGTATAGCTTTTATAGAGAACACTTCTTTATGAACGTTCAGATCTTCGAAGCGAAACCTCAATCCTATAAAATCTTGCAGTGACACTGGACTAATGCCTAAATTAAAGAAGAAAGTTGCAGAGGGTATTGCACCATCAGTGACGAATCTTCACAGCAGATGTATTGAAAGTAACAACTGGCCAGCCTCATGGAAAAGAGGAGAACTCATTCTTATCCTCAAGAAAGGGGACTAGCACAATGTAGGAAGCTATCGACCTATCACAACGCTCTCGACTATCGACAAGGTTTCTGAATCACTGCCTAGCATACAAATAACACATTATTTTGATCCCAGTCTATCTCCAAGACTAGCAGCATACAGAAAAAGTCCAAGTTGTGAAATGAACTTAGTAAGCTCACAGAGGACTGAAAACATACTATCGTTAGAAAAGAACTAGTAACCATTCTATTTTTTTTCATGAGTAAGGCTTTTGACTCTCCATGTCACAATTTAGTTATCAAAAAGCTTAAGCATAGGGATTTACTAGCCAATCATTGGATCTAGTTGGATCGTTTCTAAATGACAAACACATTTTTTTAAAACTTGACACCACTAGAAGCAAATGGTCTGAAATGTCACGTGGTTCTCCTCATTTTTTTTTATTTGGACCATTGTTATGGAATTTATTCCAGAATGACATGACCTTGTTGGTTTTTTTTTCAAACCTTTTCATGTATGCTAACGACCATCAGCTATATGAGACAGGGTCAGAGCTTTTTTTCTCATCTTCTAGGTTACAACATTAAGGAAAGTTAGCCATGTCTTGGTATAGGGATTTTTTTCTACTTGCCAACACAGAAAAGTTTCGTTGTCTCACTATCAATCCAAGAAACATTTTTTTTTATAAAAAATACTGAAGCACCGTAGATTGAGGATCAGATCATCACTAACACTTCGTTTTTTTAACTACTTGGAGCTGAAATAGATGGCAAGCTTAGTTTCACCCATCATATCAGTATTTTTTTCATGAAAGCAAGTCAAAAAGTTGGTATCTCATTGAGAATGCGAAATTTGACACCTTTTTTTCTGAAAGCAACTAATAATTCACAAATCATCCATCCTACCTTACTTAACATATTGTTTTTTTGTATGGCTTAACTGCAGATCCTCTGACAGTAGATCTACAGTCGGAGGATCTGCATTTTTTTAGAACGAGCACTTAGAGCACTTATTCAAGAACGAGCACTGAGAGCAGTATTTAATTTTTTTTCAGAACTATACGAAAACCTTTTAATTAGTTCTAGCAGAGCTACCTTTACTATTTTTTTTTAGACTACAAGATATATTAATGTACAAAGTAAAAAATGGCATCGTACCGAGTATTTTTTTTTAACTATTTAAGTAGAAAAGCATAAGTTATTCACCAAGAAACAGTGATTTTGAAATTTTTTTTTATAGCGCTATTCACAATGGAAAACATTCTCTTAGATATCAAGGACCTCATACTTTTTTTAAACTGGATACAAATTTAAAGGGTCCCTAAATATTGAATCTTTTGAAAAAATCTTTTTTTTGAAAGACCTAGAGTCACGCTTGAACAACAACAATAGCTGCTGTGACCTGTGCAATTTTTTTAGACCACCTTTTATATACCTACTGTTTTGATGTACAATTTATACAAGTTTTTCATTTTTTTTATATATATATATATATATCCTTTATAATTTCTTGTTTTTAAATAATTCTATTTTTTTTTTTCTATTAATTTACTTATTCAGTTATTTCTTTTTTGTGTCCCCAATTAGTTGTGATTTTTTTATACATTGACACATTAATAAAGCTTTCACCTACTTTACTTAAGCACTGTGTCGCTTTTTTTTACCATTTATGACCAAACGAAATACTCGCTTTCAATCAGCAACACCAGTAGAGATTTTTTTACATTTGTTTGGTCGCTAGCTCTGTTAACTTCGTTTGCTATTTTTTCTCGTTTTTTTTTTTTGCCGCTTCCTTTTAAAGTGCTCCCGTGTTCCTTACAGAAGTCGGTTAAAATTTTTTTTTTTGCGGTTGTTCAAGAACTTCTTCTGCCCTTGGTGGTGCTACCTGTTGACGAGCTTTTTTTTGGTTCAGAAAAGCTTGCGGTGAATGAGAATACAAACTTGACTGATATGGTGCTGTTTTTTTGTGTTGGGAAGGAACATTTCTACGCAGAAAAGTACTTTAAAACTATTCTAACTCTTTTTTTAAGATTCATTGTTCTGCAATAAATTTCCGTGGTAACCGTAACCCAGTTTCATTTTTTTTTTAAACCGAAGAAAGCGGCTGCATCACGATTGTTTGGTAACCTGGTTGACCGTAATTTTTTTTTTAAAATGAACACGGTCGACTATCCTACTGCAGCCGCAGCCATTGACCACTACATTTTTTTACTTTTACTAAAAGCCTAATTTATGAAACACTACAAAGGTCACAAGGGAAAAATTTTTTTTAGATAAGTTTGGCACAAGCTAATAAGAAAGATACTTATGTTTTCAAGACAACGCCAAAGTGGAGCTTTCCACGTTTGCCCGAAGCGACGACGGCCTCACAGCAAATGTTAAAAAGGTCAACCGGAACTAAGAGTCACCGTCGTCGTCGCAAAAATCGCGTGTGCTTACGTTCCCAATTAAGAGAGGGGTGGGGGGCTTATTGCAGGGAGGTTTATTTGGCATTTTGGCTTTGGAGGTAGGCGCTTATTAAGGGGAGGCCGCTTAATCGCGCGGACGCACTTATTCCAGAAAACACGAATTTTTTTTAAACGTATTTAGATTGCATGAAACGAATAGGTTATATAATAATAATAATAATATTTTTTTTAATAATAGTCAGTAAAATACAGGATAACAAACAAAATTAAGACAAATTAAGGTTTTTTTTTTAAAACAAGTTTAAAACATATCAAAGTCAAGGGGTACAAATAGTCTTACTGAATTTTTTTACCACGCCCACTTCATCGGCCCACTCAAATCGAGTGCGATTTTTGGATGTTATATTTTTTTGCCGACTCTCTGCATAAAAAAATTTAACAATGTACCACCGAAATATTGAACTAATTTTTTTGGCTTTCCATTTCGTGCATTTTCGTACTTCAAAGTAAGTTTTTCCCTCGTCATTTTTTTTTTTTCCCGAGCGGGTCCGTCAAAATCAAGAAGGCGTTCGTGGTCAAAACAAGACCTTTTTTTGAGTCTTGGGCGATTTCTCTCTTACGCAAGGGCAAATTGAAAATTTACGCCAAATTTTTTTAGAGGAACAGATTTCCTTTGTTTTGATATGTAAATTGTCGAACAAGGAGCAGATTTTTTTTCGTCAAATGGCCAGTCAAAACAACCACACCCTCCTTTTGCTCGTTTCCTGTTTTTTTTTTTTGAAAGCAGTGGAAGAAGAATCGGGTAGCTCGGAAAGCGCTTCATCATTGTTTATTTTTTTGATAAACAAGTACGATTTGTAAAGTTATTTTCCGAAAGAGTCGGAATAAATACATTTTTTTCAGGTTAGATTGCTGTTTTTACCCTAAACGTCGTCCAATAAATTTTTGTTGCAGCCTACTAATCTATACAATTTCGAAGGAAAATATTCAGATGCTTCACCGTCCCCGAAGGGGGTTCTGTTCTGGTTTACCGGTTCACAAGGGAATTACCATTGTTCTTTCTTTGTTAAGGAGTTATCGGTTAGCTATTGTGTATTGTTTGGTCTTTTGTATTGGCTCTTGTGAACCGGTACACGAGGACAGAACCCAAAAATTTCATATCGTGTGCAACTTCAGTTCGGCTTTGGCAAAATATATAATTGAGCATAAGAACTACCCAAAAGACAGAGCCACTTATTTCAAGGCTGTGCTCCAAGAAAAATTT